TATATATATATATATATATGTGTGTGTGTGTATATATATATATATATATATATATATATATACACATATGTATATGTATTTATATATGTAACATACATATACATATATATATATATATATAATATAATATAATATAATATATATATATATATATATATATATACATATGAGAACCAAGTTATACTATCGGGCTGCTAAAGCATGGTTACATTTACACATGTGTTGTATGTTATATGCCTTAATGATTGATGTGCATACTTAAGATATTCATGCACATTGCTTATGCCAGTTTTTGTTTTTGAGAGATGTAACCGGGTTGCGCCTCCATTTGTTCCATATTGATATATAGGCATACTCTGAAAGATATTATCAACTATCCTAACTGTCTGATATATGGTCACTATATTATGATTTTCAGTTTATGTTAATAAATAGTGTCGTGTGGTTTACTTGTCATATTTTTTGCTAAGGGCGGTTTACATGTCATTTTTTTTATAATGGTAGTTTACTTATCATATTATATTGAAATACTGAATATTTTGGTAAGTTACACCACAACCCTTTCAATGGCAGGCCGATGAAACTTACTGAGCACTCTACATACTCATCCTTCTTTCGCCTCTTACATCCATGCAGTGATAGTTCTGAGTGCCATAGGACTAAGTGTCTAGCAGATCAGCATATGTGATCCAGCAATGAGTCAACCAATCCAGTCCTGTGGTGACTAGATGTTTTAATTTATTTACTTCTACTCAGTATTTTTGGGTTGCATCCCACTAGATTCTTGAGATTCTCCTTTGACTCTGTTGTTGGGTTTAGACTTATGGATTCAGCTATATACTTTGGATTTGATTATCTTTTGGGCTATGATATTTAGAATTCCTTATCATTAAATTGTAGTTTTTATGATTAGAAAGTTTATGGAAATGCTTAAAGGGATGGTTCACTCGGTTAGGGGTTGCCAGGTGCTGGTCACAAATCCTTGTGAAATTTCGGGTCGTGAAAATATATAGAAGCAAAAGTTAAGAAGTCTAAAGCACCACATAGAGATCCTTACTTCAACATGGTACCAAGAACAATGACTCCAAACAAATTGAGCCCACCCAATCCAATGACCAATGCCCTTTCCGATGAGCTTGTTTTACTGCATTGTAAACACTCATGGTTGAGAACTCAAATCCACAAGTAAGATATCCAAATATACCAGCAGTTCAGACAAATGATATGATACCTAAATTGCCACTTCTTCTCTTGAAGAAATCTTTCAACCTGTCCAACCCAGTCAGTCCATCTTTTTCCTACATACTCCTTCCTTCCACTCCTTTGTGGAGTAGCTGTACGCTGAAGTGATGGAAACCGGTACAAGATATTTCCCTGGAACAAACAATTTATATAGAACAAGAATGTGAAAATCTTTCTGTAAAGAGATCTTTGAGCGTTTAACGAGAGAAAGAGACATCAAAAACCCCTCAACAACCATGTATTTATGCATACAGTCTCTTATAAACTACTCCCTCCGTTTCAAAAAGGATGGCCTAGTTTGACTTGGAATGGAGTTTAAGAAAAGAAAGAAGATTGTTCTAAATTAAAGTTATGTCAAATATACCAAAATGCCCTTTAATCTTGTGGTCTTAAAAGAAATAGGGTCATTCTTTTTGAAATGGAGGGAGTATTATGTTTGCCTTTGTAGCCTTTATATCACTTTTACCACAGCACCCCCTGCTGTTAACTCCCGTAGGACACTATAAAGAAATTTACATTTTGGCACCACACTTGTACACAAAAGTCAATAACAGCAATAATATTCACAACAGCTCAAATCAACCACTGATTCTAGATTTTCTGAGCCCTTAAAGTTGAAATTTATTAAACAGGAGAAAAACTCATTTAAGCAGTGATCTTTGCTCTTTGTACTAGAATGCAGAAACAACCTTTCAACAGATATTGAGAAAGAAAAAGGAAGCCCAAATGAGACAGAAGTTCACATCGTCTTGTATATTATAATACTGAAATTCTTTCATACCCCTTTTTTCTTTAGGTTCAACTCCTTATTTCATTTACATTGTTGATGTCCAAATCCTGATGAAGTATAATAAAAACATAGAAATGACTACTTCATCCCTAATTTGAGCTTTGTTATCCAAATTTGTAGATTTAAAAAGAGACTTGGCTCTGTTCAAAGCTTGGACGATATATTTGATCTTTTCAGATATCCTATTAGGGTCAAAATATGATAATGCTCTCTCAAAAAACTCAACTTATGAGTTTGCTTCAATCATAGCTCAGGTGTGAATTTGAGATTAGTATGTTAAAACTTTAACAGATTCTTTAGATTATTTTGAACTATTAATACAATTACAATATCCATATAATAACTAATTAACACAAGTACGATACATGTTGAAGATTTCAGGTATCAGGGTGAGGAGTCTAAATGAAATGGCTGGCAAAGGCAAGACTAGTAATGGGGTTAGTTGAAGTCAGGAGAATTGATGGACAAAAAGTTTAATAACTTCTGATGTCTGTCGCCACAACAAGGTTTCAGAAAATGACACTGGAGACTTCACTAGCAACATATCCAGTCCGACACCATAAGTGGGGTCTGGGGAGGGGTGGGTGTACTAGACCTTACGCCTACCTTGTGTGAGGTACAGAGGCTGTTTCAGAAGCTAAAATTGATTCTCAAAATTTTATTGAAGTCAAGGTTGCACTATGGAACACACGAAATTCTTTTCCAAAGCCACGTGCACAGAAAACGGCATCAAGCCATCAACCATAGTAATCGGAAGGAAGAATCAAACAAAATTATATCATTAATAAAGCTTTCACATACTTCCTCATCTACTTCTGGCTGACCATCAAACCGCAAAAGCACCGGAAGGATGTATGACTCATCATCCTGTCAGAGAACCCACAGGTAATTCAAAAGTCATTTCTCAGAACAGGAGTAAGATTGCAAAGTGTAAATAAGCACAAAACTAAAGCAAGATGAACAATCAACAAGATATCAAGGATAACTGAAACGCAAAACATGGAATCTCAGGATTACCAAACAACCAAGTACTCAAAATGTTCAACAGATTTAAAAATAGTTTTCCTGAAAAGGCCATTGGAACAAAAATTATAGCACTTTTACTGCTGTGGAAGGGAAACAACAAAGCAAGAAGATAATGGACAAGAAATCCAACAAATGGGTCGTGTAAGACCCATCAACTACCGTTTTGTTAGGAGTCTCCACATCAAGAAAGGGAGCAAGTTCTTCAGCAGCAACAACGCCACCATTTGATGATATATACTGCCCTACCTGCAAAAGTTTTTAAACGATGGTAATTATTATACGTCGTAGAAATATCTGATTATAACATAAGAAATTGTAAAAGTTAGTGACAGCACATACATTGAACTTTCTTTATGGCGTAGATATCACTAAAAAGTGTCAACAGATGCAAATGTAACAAAGGAGAGATTCAATGACACTAAGAAGCTGACAAACTCCAAACAAAGATCAGTGTTATTTACAGTAGAAAGGTTAAGCCAACTAAAACGATTAACAAAACATCTAACCTTCAGGGAGTAACTTGAATTTGAGAAGGCATCAAAACATCTATGATACGATTTCTCTGTCCATAGATACAACAACAATATACCCCGTCTAGTCCCACAAAGTAAGGTATGGGGAGGGTAGAGTGTACCAGACCCTCGGCTCAAGGAAAAATAATCCAAAGAAGACCAATAAAGTAATGGAGGAAAAAGCATAATAAAGAATTTGGAACATTTACTACAGCAAAACATTAGGATAGACAAAGTACAAGAAACAACAAATAGTAACGGATATCAAAGAAAAAGAAACTACAAGAGCAATGCTACGACTACTAGTATGGACAGATAACACGACAATGCACTACTACCTACTAACCATCTACCCTAATTTGTGTCCTCCACAACCTCCTATCAAGGTTATGTCCTCGGTAAGATGAAATTGAGTCATGTCATGTCTAATCGCGTCTCCCCTCAATACTTCTTCAGCCTACCTCTACCTATCCTGAAACCATTCATAGTCAACTTCTCACACCTTGAACTAGGGCATCCGAGCATTTCCTCTAAACATGGTCAAACGATCTCAATTTTCGCTTCCCACACCTTATCCTCCAATGAAGCTACTCTCACCTTGTTCTCGATATCCTCATTTTCTAATCTTATCCCTTCTAGTATGCCCGTGTTGATCACAACATCCTCATGTACGCAACTTTCATCCCCTGTCCTGAATAAAGAAGAAGTTAACATTCAGTGCCCATTTGGATTGACTTATTTGTAGGTGTTTTTGACTTTCAAGTAGTTTTTTTAGTTTTAGAGATGTTTGGAAAGGTTATAAAGTGCTTTTAACCACCTACTTTTAGGCAAAAGAAGTTATAAAATAAGTCAAAAGTAGAGTACCATCTACTTATGACTTTTGACTTATAGCTTACTTTTTTACAAGCCCATTCAAACATGCCCCAAGTCTCTCCAAGCATTCTCTTTTGTTGGTATATCAATAAAGGTTATTCTTTACCTACCAACAAAGTAAACATAAAGCAATGAAAATCCCAACTAGCCACCATGCAAAATTGTACCTCACTCTCTTCGATTCATTGCTCAAATAACCAAGTTGCTAGATGCGATGTGAGAGCATTGGCATATACACCTCCCCTCTATCAGAAAAAAAAATCAAACATCCCTTCCATCGAATCATTCTCACTAAACTTAGATACAAGAGGATGACTACAACCTCTTAATCCTGGATACCCACCCCTTTACCAGACAAAGTAACCATAGAGATGTCCTGGCGTACCAATAAGGTATCTAGAATTCTAGATAAGGGAAAGTTTGTAACTACAAAGAAAAGATTGTAGTGAAAACAACCAGAACACTTATTGTGGATGAAAGCTGCTATAATGCCGAAAAACTAATAGAGAATATATCAATATCTCGTGCCATTTTATGTGGGTAGAGATTAACCCCTGACCAAAAAGCAAATCAAAGAGTTACCAGAAGCAGGAAAGAGAAGAGGAAAAGACAAGAACTAGACAAATTATCAGAATGCCAGGAATAAGTAATTTAAATAATAGACTACTTGACTTGGAGTTGTAGCTTAGTGGTTGCAATTCTATCCAGAATAAGTAAAATTTAATCCCACCGAATGCCATCCTCTTCTACTTCCCTTTCTCATTATTCACATGCCCCAGCCCATCCCCACCACAGAAAAATGAAAAAAAAAAAAAGCAACGGACCGCTAAATTCAGTGCTCAATTATTACCAACTTCCACCTCTCCTCTTCAATTTCTTGATTTGGATCACCATCACCAAATACAAAGGAGAATACCTGCAAATTTAACAACCATTAGTTATGAAAAACTTAGATGAAAATATAAAAGCATCTACTCTAATGCCTTTTACCACATACAGATTCAATGAAGTTCATCCCACCACTTTCTTTGCGAACTCGTCGTCTCCTATAATAGTATGGATCCCAATACCTGACAGAAATTAACTAGATTAGAAAGGTGCCCGTGGATTTAGGGTTTTAGCTTGTAATTTTTTGGAGGTAGCCAGCATACCCTTAATGCTGAAGAACACCACTTTAACTTTATAAAAGAAAAATAGAAAGCTGCCGGTGAATTTCATGAAGCTTTTAGCCATGGTGCATAATATTTCAAAATGGAAAAAGAACCTTAAGGTTCACCCATATGTGGGTCATGATAAAGTTACCCACTGAACATGTATCACGATTGCTAGGTTAGAACATTAAAATGTGAAAATAAGTATATTGCTTTCCTAAAACAGAAGCAGTAATAGTTTTTGCATGGAATACCTAAGAGCAAAAGATAGCACTTTTATGGTATTAGGCTAGCTGTCATGGTCACTGATCAATCAGGAAAAAGGAAAAGACGAAATCAACCGTCTTGGTGCTATTATCTTACTGTTATCAAATAAATAATGTTCCTTTTATTTAGATTAACTCAATTAAGTATCTTCTTCCCCTTTTGAGATTCTAATTGTCTTATATTTTCACCAGAGTTATCTTCATAGGGTCTTGCACAAACTCAAAGGGAAACTCTTATTTTGCTGTACATAACAGACATTGTAGATATCTAGAATAGCTGCTTCAAAGAGCCTTGGACTAATCATGTCTACCCATAATGAGATCTTCATTCCATTACCTTGTTTATATATTGCTTTGTTTCTGATTAATGACCAATGTTTCCTTATGGATCTCCACACACAGATCCCACCCCATAAAAAGTGTTCACGGGATTTGTTGTCGAATTACCTCTCATCCAATTCTTGGTTTTAGTCACCTCTTTCAACAGAGAGTTCTCATCTAGAGCAACCACCGCAACACCAGGCTATTATTCCGGATCTTCTGGTCTCTAATTAATTGCCCAATCTCATTTCTTTTTACTAACTGTCAGAGTGCTTCATCCCAGACCTCACTTGTGGGATTTCACTGGATACGTTGTTGTTGTTGTCAGAGTGCTTCAGTTAACCATATGTATCTTGTTTTTCTAACTGTTTCCTTTCCAAAGGAAATTCCTTCTTAGTGCATTAATTATTTTCTCACGTTTGCAGGCATTGGAAATATAAGCATCATATAAGTAGGCAAAGCATCAAGCACACTGAGTATTGACTCTTCCAGCTAGTCATTTTCTTCTTACATTTTCCTATTAATCATAACATATAAGACTAAAGGTATATGATATACCTTTAGACTGGCTCCTAGTGGTATTCCCAAGTATACTTTTGATAATTCTACTGTCCTTCCACTTAGGTTTTCAGTCAGTCTATGTATATCAGTTACCTCATTAATTGGGTATATATTGCTTTTGAGACAGTTTACATTCAAACCAGAGATAGCATCAATTGGAATAAAGATCACCCTAAGCATTGTTGATTGATATCATCTACATATTGCGGATGAGAGATCTCCATATTGTTGCTTCTCCTAGTGTTCACCTTGAAACTCCTGATCCACTCATTCGCTTCTGCTGTCTTCAGCATATCATTCAGTTCTTCCATTGCTAAAATGAAGAGTAATGGAGACAGAGGATCTCCCTGCTTCAATCTTTTGAGAACTTCATTGACTGATCTAGAATTTATTTTGATTTATCCATCTTCTTTCAAAAGTCATCTGAAATAGAATGCATATCAGTTACCCCACATTGAATAAAGAAGGCCATTGAAAATCCATCAAGGTCGAGGCCTTATCTCCTGTGCATACTTTGATATTGTCCCATATTTCCTGAGGTTCAAAGGGGTGTAGTAGTATCAAATTATCATCTTGTGATACCATGGGGCATACCCTTAGAATACATTGTGGTCTCCATTCCTCTATTCTGTATCATAGTATGGTACTATTTCTCTCTTGATATCTTCAGGATTCACCAAATCCCCTTCTAAAGAAGATTGGTTAATATAGTTGTGGTTATCAGAAAAAAAAAGCTGGTCAAGAGAGTTGTATCTTCTGTGAGCATTGGATGTTCTATGGAGAAACTGTGTTTTCTATCCCCCCTTGTTTCAGCCATAGATGAATCTTTTACCGCTATGTCACCTCCTCATGCTTTGCCTTCTCCTCAAGCTTCATAGATAAAGCAGTCTTTGTGGCTAATTCTACCTCAGATAAATTCCTAAAAACCGAAATTCCATCCAGTTCTGCAAGTTGATTAAAAATATTTTGTTACTTCAAACCCAAGTTTCCTTGGATTGTCCTGCTCCATTCTTTTTGTTTATCCTACAAAGCTTTCAATTTGTGGCTAAAATGTGGTCTGGTCTTCCACCACAAACAAGGGAACCCCCTACCCGTTCTTATCTCTTTCATTGAACCCCTCTGTGTCTACCACCAGTTCTCAAATTCGAAATAGGATTTAAGCTCTCACTTGTTTGCACTTAATGGGGTCTGAATCTGAATGGTTTAGACATTAGACCATTAAGTGTATTTGTTTTGGTTATGATTTAAGCATTTAATAGGTCTGGATAGGACTTAACCATTAAGATCTAGAACAAAGTCTTAATATTATTAAGAGGTATTCTTGTGTGGATAATATTCATCATGACCTCTATTCACAATCATCAGCCACCACCACTAACCACCTTTGCCATCACAACCACCACCACTAACCACCTCTTCTATCACAACTACCCCCATCATTATCAGCCACCATTATTGTCGTCTACCACCAACCATCTCTGCCATCACAACCACCACCATTGCTAAACACTACTATCAACTTCTATCACTTACCATTCCATCATTATACTTATATCAGTTGTTGCCACCTGCACCTGTACCACTACTATCAAATCAGGACCACCACTGGTTCTCACTACCAACAAACTCCACCATCACAACTGGCACCGCCGCCTCCACCTCCACCACTACTATCCGTCACTACAAGTCTACAACTACTATGGTTAATTTCTACTCCCAACCACCTCCATCATCATAATTAGCACAATCACCAACTACACCCATATCAGCAACTAACACACATTCTTCCGCCGCCACCAACTACTAACATCAACCGACTTCATCATTACAACCACCAACATCACTACCAATCGCCACAATTCTGACCGTCACCACAACATCAACCACCTCCACCGTCACAACTATCACCACCATCATTACCAGTTTCAGGGAAGCGTGAAGCGGAAAAAAGTGATAAGTCCCCGCTTCATGCTTTAATTGATGAAGCGCTCACATACTCATTCTAGTCTCTAGTCTGTGAGCGTAAAAGGCTCGCATCGCTTTGCAAACACTGATCTACTAGTCATTTACAACAATTACCATCACAACCACCACTACAAACTATCTCTACCATCATTATTAAGCATAACAGTTTCATTTTTTTGTTGTATCAAATAATAATTTTATGATATTAATTATTATTGAATTGTATATTTATTATGTACATATAAATAAAGTATGTACATTCAGATTTTGAAAAACAACCCGGCTTAATCATTTAGTCATTTAGTGTTCAGATCAAGAGACAACATCTTTATTTATTCATATGTGCATTCAGATTCAAACGTCTAAATCTTAATTAAAACAAATAAGAACGTGTCAAGTCTTGCGTCTATGACATGAAGTAACTTTGTAGCATCAAAGGAGAGTGATTTGAAGTAACTGGATCCCAGTTACCACATTGAAGCATCAAAGTAGAGTGATCTGATGTAACTTTGTGCACTACAAATTGCCTGATATTTCGGAAGCCTTCATCCAACTCCTCTAAAATTAAGAACCTGTCCAGTCTTGCGTCTATGACATGTCTATCCCCTTTATTCCGACTGAACTTCCCTACTGTTAATTCTAGATCCACCAGCTCCATGTAAGTTATAAAATCTGAGAAGTCGGACATTGCTCTATTGTATCTAAATCGATTCTTTCTCTCAAGAAACCTCTAGCAATGTTAAAGTCCCCACAACCACCGAAGGCCCTTCAAGCAAACTCCTTGTTGATCCAATTCTCCATCATACCTTTTCTCTTTCCTTCCTAGCATTTGGAGCGTAAAACCAATGATGTCAATTGAAATCCTGGGTCCTCTCATTAGACTTGTAGGTAATGTAGTAGGAGCCAAACTACTGATTTGGCTTGGAAAACTGAAAGTCTTGAACCTATTTGTGTTTGAACTGGAAAACTAAAAGGCAGCTATTTTTTTTTTTGAGAAGGTAACGATCTAAAAGGCAGCTATTTACTCTTACATAAACAGCACAACTTAATGCTTTGGAGTTTGACTACACCCAAAGAGAGAGGCGTCAATGTGAGAAGAGTTCCACACACAAAGTCTAGAAGAAAAAGTTGTTGCTACTACAAAAGAATCTGTTCCTAACAAAATTTATCCATACAGTTTTTAGTGTAATGATTAATTTCTTTGTGTTGGTTCCAATACAATATATTGATTACTTTTATAGTTGATTGTAGTAGGTGTTGCTTAGTGTTTGTAAGGGACTTTATTCATAGGGTAGAGTCATTGAAGAAAAGAGTAGAGAGGTAAAGGTTGAGATTGTTGGGAACAATTTCTTAGGTGCTACAAGGACAATTGTAAACCTTAAATTTGGGTCGATTTTAGTGGAAGAGATTGAGTGAATCCTACATAGGTGGGTGTAGTTTTTGTCTCCCTTGGGCAAGGAGTTCTCCAAGCCAAAAGCTTGTGTTGATTTACTATTCTTCAATTTACCTTCTTGCATAGTTGCTCAAAGAACCTGGCTCTTTGAGTACTTAGGTCACAGCCAAATTAATAAAAGGGCATCATAAATATAAATATTGACTCAGATGGAGAAATAAGTTAATATCAAATGAAGGAAAAGAAAACACTCAAATATCTCTAAATTTAATGATCTCATGTTGTTACAATAAATATACATAATAAGAAAACCATGGAATCAGTCAAAATTTAAGAAAACGAATGCACAAAAGAGGTCATAAGTGAAGCCCTTAATAAATTTCAAGAAGCAAGCAAAATTGCACTAGAGTGATATTGCTTTTTCCTCAACAATGGATCAAATTATAATTACCAAAATAAATCGGTTGGGCTGAAGTAAAATGAGAAACCGCTGTCATAAGATCTGCCTCGTCTTCCCCGATTGTCTTCTTCACTGTAAAGAAAGCAAATGTCAAAAACAAATGGCCCAAAACTAACAGTTTGGAAAGCCACCTTGTAGGATTTGGTGTAATTACTATCCTAGTAATGACATAGCTTAGTAATTACACAACATAGTAACTGAGAATATCTATTTGTTTGTCATAACATAATTACTGTGAAATTGCCAACGTAGTCTTTGGTTGCCCAAGATTAATTACATAATTAGATCTTTTAAACTTTTAAATAAAGTTAATTATCAAAAACTAGACGTTATTGTTTGATGAACATGTGTCTATGCAAGAAATATTGTTCAATCATATATATTAGTAGGTATTCAAAATATATATTTATTTTTTAAAATGTAGCATTAAATAAGTGTAGATTTGTAACTAAATATTGTAAAATATAATTGATAGTATTTGGTTTTCAAGAAAAAAATAATATAGTTGAATTAATTAATAAAAAATGTAACCAAACACAGTTTGCAAAACATTGTGGGGATGAATGTTTGACAAAAAATCAATATTACAGTCATAATTTTCTAACATTTTCAAATGTTTGATAAAAAAAATAATATATAAATTCTTACATCTCTCAGCATCAGTCAATTGTGAGGATGCATGTTTGACAAAAAATAAATATTGTAGCCATAATTTTATAATGTTTTCAAATATTTGACAAAAATTAAGATATGAATTCTTACATTACTCAGTATGAGTCAAGTTTGTCTCTAACCTCATTCAGTAAGGAAATCGAACTTTAGTGGCAAGTCCAACTTTAATGAGATCACTAATTATAAGCCAAGTATGTAGAACTCATTCTTTCTACAATTAGGAGGTGTAATTTAAACAATCAGAATACTAACACAAATAAGCCAAATGAAGGGGAGACAAACTTGTATAGACAGATACCTTCTACTAGAGAGGATAGCAATTATGGTTGTATAGACAATGACAATCGAAGCAATTAGTGTTGTACCAAAGGAAACCCTCACTAAGTATTCACCTGCAAGCTGCAAAATATTGAGGTTCCCTCGGAAGATTAGTATTTATAGGTAGACCTATTCCAAAAAACACATACTGACATCACCAATAAAATAGGATTAATACCTTTGCTTTCTCCAGCAAAGGCTCAATCTTCATCCTAAATGATTTAGCAGTGAGATTTGAACGATAATCCTTAGGAAATACATACAGGACATCACCTTCATCTGACACCTGCCAAAACTATATTAGCCGCACTCTGATTAAACAACCGAAATGTAGCATAAATGCTTCACGCTACAACCCTACAAGTCATCCATTAAAAAGGTGATCAACTTCCAAAAGAAAGACTACAAGTTCAATGATATATTATTCCACAAAAAATTAGAGCGTTCCAACGAAAAAATCCTAATAAAAAGCCTTGAACAAAATTGTCAACAGATACATCATATGAAATTGCAAACTTTTCAGCTACCACTGATCACTCTTAAGAACATACTCATCATCCTTTGGGTTAACCTTCTCTATTTAAACTAACCGGATGATTTAATCAAAATAAGAGAAACTTCGTCTTTTCTGGCAAGCTTCGCAGGCAATATGAGCCAATGGCAAGAAAGGTCATCACTATTCTGAAAACCCCAGTTATTCCTTAAATAAGTATATCCAACCATTAGGTCCTCCAAATTTTTCTTGCTTAGCACTAACCTCCAGATTTCGAGCACTTTCCACCAACCATTGCATTGTTTCTGAAATCTGAGTTCTCCTGCAATATTCTCTTTCCCTTTCAAATTTACTTTTGCCAAAAAAGGGTATACTCAAATATTTATTTTTTTTGAAACTGGTAAGGTTGATTTTTTTCAGCATTAAGGGTATGTTGGCTACCTCCAAAAAGGAATAATTACAGATTTCCTATCAAATCTATAATCTGGTCTATATCATCTATACAAAGCTGTTTACACCCAAAAAAAGTAGAGATACTATACAATTCTATTTAACTTTGTGGATGGAATTGGATCTATCTTCAAAACATCTTGCATTTCTTTTTTTTTCCAGATTGACCACCATACACATGATGGTATTAGCTTCCACCATCACTTTTGACTCTTACTGCCTCCCCTCCTAATCCAACAGCTCAACAGATCTGATGTATGTTCTGGCATTGTTCGGTTCATGCTTGTGATGTTGAGAAACAAGTTCCATATTTGAGCAGTAAACAATGCAGGTTTCCCCTGTCAAGTTGTACAAAAAACACCTAGGAACTAGTTGTCTGCCTTTCTTTTGTAGAACTTCTTCTGTTAAACATGCTCTCTTTATTACTAACCAGGTGAAACACTTTACTTTTGTAGGGCTGTCACTTTTCCAAGAGTAGTTCAAACTATATTTTGGGGCCCCTATTATCCCCATTAGTCCTCTTTTCTAGGCATTTTTGACTGAGAAGACTCCATCCTTGCTATGTTTCTGCAAGATCTTGTCTGTTGTTGTTGTAGTTATAAACATTCCAGGTAGTTTTTCCAGTAGCGCTGCCACCCTCTCCACCTCCCAGTCATTGTGTAGTCTTCTTAAAGATATTTCCCATCCTTGTTCTGTCCAACAATCACTAACTCTAGCATCAGGGTTCTCACAGATTAGAAACAAATCTGGAAAAAATTCTCTGAGAGAAGTTTGGTCTATCCAACCAACTTTCCAAAATTTAGTTTTATTTCCATTACCCACCTTGATATACATATTTCCTTCCATTTGTGGCCATAGGTTCCTGATTGTCCTCCATACCCCGACCACATTTGGTTCAGAGGTGATTTTTGTACACCAAGGATTTAGTTCTCCATATTTTTCTACTATAACCTCCTTCCAGAGAGCTGCATCTTCCTCAGTGTATCTCCATAGCCATTCCATCAAAAGGCTTTCATTTTGCAGCCTCAAATTTCTGATCCCTAAACCCACACTTTCTTTGCTGAGAAGAACATTCTTCCAGTTGACTGAGTTATAACCCTTTCCCTCCTATTGCTTTTCTACTGAAAGTTCCTTCTAAGTTTGTCTAGTTTTTTCACCACCTTTGCTGGGATTGGAAACAAGGACATCACATAGGTTGGTAAAGAGTACAGAACAGAGTTTATGAGGATCAAATATTTGGGTTGGATTATAGTGATATGGTTGTCGTTCTCCATTGACCTTTTAATTAGTTGGACATTAAGAATGTTTTTCTCCATAGTGATCTCAAGGAAGAACTATATCTCGGGGGAGGCAAGTAGCCTTGTATGTCAATTGTGCAGGTCACTCTATGGTGTTGAACAACCTTCTAAAGCTTGGTTTAGGAAGTTCAATAATTCAGAAATCTGGCAAGACTTGTAGTGGAGCTGATCACTCTATGTTTTGTCGACATTCTGCATCAAATTCAGTATTTATGAGATTGACCGTAAATTTTGTGAAGTCAAAAGATCAACTTACCAAGCCCCTCATAGCTCCTCGTATTAGTTACATTTGTAACAAGCTAGATACATATGACTTGTATGCACTAGCTTAAGCGAGAGTGTTAGAATAGGAATAGGAAAAAAAACAATATATACAATCCTACTTAGAATAGGAATAGAGGTAGTATGTAGAATCCTACAGAGAAAAGGATTGTATTATAGTGTCCTAGTAGGAAAAGAAGTCTAATGTACTGTGTATAATAAGGTCTCAATGTAATAATGTAGATACGCAATGCAATAATATTCTTATCCTATATTCCTCACACTTGTTTTAATAATTAAATTGGTTTTAAGTGTATTTATTCTCTTTGTATGTTCTATTTTCTGACATCAACGATCAGTTTAGAAGTTTATTGCTCCGGGTTTATATATATTTATTTTCCACACAAGTAGGGCTGGGCATATTCTGGTTGAAACCGAAAAAACCGACCCAACTAAATTTCTTTTAATATCAGTTTCAGTTAAAACGGTCGGTTTTGGTTTTAACTTTTAAAATTTCAGTTTTTCAGTTCGGTTTTTAACAAAATAAATTCGGTTAACAGAAAAAAACAAATTTTAATACTGCACACTACTGTTTAAACTGAACTTACCCAATTCTTAAATCCCAAAATTGAAACTCTCACAACATGTCTCGATGAGATGACGTTGACTCACATCAACTCGTCTTACAGACGAGCCTCCGTTCGTGCTCTGCTTTCGACACTCGTCAGGCACAATCATAGTGACTGAAACTCACTCAGTTGACAGTTGCTGCTTGCTTTTTAATTGTTAAAAACTTTTGTATGTTGCCTGTTAAGTTTTATGCCTTGAGGCTGAAGGCTGGAGTGAATGCCTAGTGCCTGGAATCCTGATACTCTTAGTAAATGGCCATGAATCATGATCTCATTGGTCCCTGAAACGTGGAAGCTACTTGAATGTTTGTTGTCTATTAATGTCCTTGCCCCTGAAAGCTGAAGTCTGGCCTTGTTTTAATTTATCCTAATTTCTATTCATTGTGATTGAAATTTGAAAATGTGTTACTAGTAGTGAAAATGTTCACTGGAGGTATATTTTGGGAAATGACAAGAAGTTGACAACTTTGTTTGAAACTTCATATGAAGAGGTGAATTTGTTCAACAACGACAACGTAGCCATTATTATCTCACAAACCAATAAACCGAACTGAAATTGTGAAAACCAAACCTAACTGAATTTATTTCAGTTTGCTTTTGGATTACATTTTCACCAAACCGAAAACAAAAAAAAAACAAATATCATAAACAGAACCGAACAAACCGAACGCCCAACCCTACACACAAGTGCCTTTAATTACATTCTTGTTTTACCTTTAATTACTCCTTATTTCCCATAGACCTTTATAGTATCCATCCTTCCATGTCTCCTCACAACCCTTCACTTTCTCCTCTCACCACCTTATAACCCCTCCCCGTCTTCCTCCTTACTCACCTCTTCCTTTTCAAATCTTCTTCTCACTAAAGCTCTCTCCCATGGCAAAAGACAAACTTTCTTCCATTTCCTCAGACATACGCGCAAGCGTCTTCAACGCTCTAAAGAAAAGATATCATTGTGGATTATATCTCAAATTCATTAAACGTAGAGGTTGTTGGATCATCCAAGACCAACACAAAGAAACAATCTATATCTCAAGGTCAAGAAACAAAAAGCTCAAGTCAAAGAAACCAGGTGATGTCTTGAAGACATGCAACTTTTTGGGGGGATCATAGAAAAGAAAAGGTGTGCTGCCTTCGAGATCAGGCACATTGCCACCGGAAGGATCATAAATCTTGAGCAACTTGAGGACTCCCATTGCCCTATAAGTGTTTTCTTCAACGCCCATAAATTATCTATACTATTTCAACTTTGTGAAAACAAAGTGTTTTGCCAGTATGGGCTATTGAAGATAAAGGAAACTAAAGATATGGAACATGTTGAACAACCTACAATGTGTACAACAGAAACAGAGTCACACTAGGACTAGGCTACTTATATCGACTAGGTTGCTACTTCTTGTACTAGCTAAAGTCGACTAGGATTAGGTTATTTATAATTGCAGTATTATTATAGTAGTAATAGTTATTGTAGTAGGATTCGACGTACAGCTAACTTCGGATTCGACTACTCACTCCCTATATAAAGAGTATGTACTCGACAATCATCAATACAATCCTCATTTTTTATGGTAAGTGATCCAAGAAGTCCCTTTCAAATACCAAGGCAGCCTAACAGTTGAAGACAAAATAGCGGATGTTCTTGCTTCTGGATGGATTAGAAGGTGGCAGAGATCCAAGGATACCCTGGCTATCACTGATGTGAAATGTACGTCTCTCTAAAGGTACCATCACCGATGTAGGTAAGCTGCAGCTAGCTGTTGACAGCCAACAGCATGAAGGAGTCAAGTCTGTGAATGAAATCCTAGGAAGCTTAACTCTGCTGCTCATGTGACTGAGACTTCAATCACAAAGCTAGTTGTTGCTATCCAGAATTCATACTCCACACTCTCTAAGAACATTGAAATGTCCAATTATTCTTTCTCTCAGAGGGTGATCATCACCCTTAAGTATTTCCTTGGTGGAAATTAAGACTTCTAAACTGTTTCTTTTACCTCCTGTTGGTTTCTATTTTGGGTTGTATATCCTTAACAGTACTCTATAGTGGCCTCTCTTGCACCCACCAGTTCCTTGAACTCCTCTTCCTCTTCTGACTGCTAATCCTTTTTTATTCCGAAATATTTATGCATGTAGCTTTTAAATTGCTCATCTAATATCATTTGTGTATCTCTATCTCAATGTGGTATTATTAAGTTCCTATGAATATTTAGCTGCTTGAATGAAATTGCTTTTGCGTGCTTAAGTGTGTCTTAGACACAAGCTTATTATGTTTCTATGTGTCGTACATTTCATCTAGTATCACATGCAGGGTCATTACCTATTGGGAAGAAGACTCAAGTCACTTAATATCACACAAGAGTCAAAGAATGAGGGGGATCTAAACATGAATCTACATACATACATTCAGGGAGAGAAATCATTCCTAAATACTGAGGGAAGTAAAATGAATAAACAATAAGTACCCCTTTAATTGTCATCATCAAAAATGAGGAGATTGTTAGCCCAATAGATTCAATGATGAAAACTAACCATTACAAAATATTTGTCTTTGAGAATCAAAAAGGAAAGAGGTCTCTATCACAAGGAAGGAAATTTGCAGTGCAATCAAACAGTCCCAAGGTCAAGGGTCAAGGACAATATGCCAAGTAACCATATCAGAAGTTGCCTCAATTACAAGGCAAAGATTCATCAATACATAGGCATTTAAGGATTACAGAATCTGTCAAGGTTCTACACATGGGAAAAAATCTCATAAAGTTACACAAGAAAGGAATGTGAATACTGAGTACAATAGAAAGGAGAGAATAGGCAGCTATACTGGTAGAGGTTGTTGCCAAACATAAAACTAAAGTGATCAAGGGACTTTTTAACATTGTACTTCAACAACTACACTGTACCCAAGTTACACAAACAAAATTCCCTAGTAACCCAAGGGAACCGGACTACGCACCATATTGGTGATCCGAACAAGTATGAAATCCATTTCTACTTCACATTCTGCACTTAACTTTTCATTTTATGTCCATTCTGTTTACTTGAACCTTTTGCAGGATCAAAGTTGACTACAGGCTTACTAGACACCCCACCCCTCTTGAAAAATCACTGATGTACAAGCCATGGTAGACTTTATAGTTCTTCACAATCTTTGAGAACTCTTTTGGTATACAATTATGTTCTTACCAGCGTATTCTTGATGCTGATACTTTTATAAATTTTTTTACCTTGTCGAAAAAAATAAAAAACTCAAGGGAACGAAAGTGAAAAAGGTAGCAACGAAAGTTGTAGGCACTTTTCATAAACATGATATAATTACATGAAAAAACTCAATTTGATAAAAAGTCATTAATCTTCACAAACCAAGCATTTGATTTTACAACGCCAAAAACAAATAATATTCAAAAGTTAAACTTTTTCCCTATAAAATAAATGGAATATTTACCTCCAAGAAGCCATTTGTATCAGCAGCCAGAGCTTGCAAAGCTTTCTGAGCTTCACTCAACTGTAGCCCAGCTTTACTAGCAACATCCCCAACTGTAACCCTCTTTCCCAATGCATCAATAGCGTCCATAGCCCGCTTCCGTACATCAGAGGGCAGCTTATCACTCTCCACAATCCCTCCAGTCTTAACCTCAACGTCAAGACTGGCCCTAACCAAATGAACTGGACTCCTCCTTGCCCTCAAACCCCCATTTTTGCTCAAATTCCAAGAATTAAAAGAGTGTATTCGTGAAGGTTTTAGGATAAGGGAGGTGGGTTTTTGAGAGAATAGGATGGATTGAATCCTGGTGGGTGTGACTGCGAAGAAGCATGTAGAAATGGCTGCCATTTACTATAAATATCTTCTTCCAAATCAAGACATTCCCATGAAAAAAAAGAGGTTTTTGAATTTGTTTGTCCGTCTCTTTTGCCGTCAACTCTCTTGCTGGTCTTGAATTTGGAATTTGCTGGGTGAAGGAGGAGGATGAATGGTTGGATTGGTGTTGTTTGGTTTGTAGAGAAAACGGTAAAGGGCCAGAATATGGAAGACTCTATTTTTTTTTAGTTTTTTTTTTTATAATACTTTAATTTTAATTTTTTTTTATGTGGTATGTTTAAGACACGTTTCAGATTACAAGATTCAAGGAGTATATTTGACATAATTTTAATTTAGAACCACAAAATTAAAAAGTTTTTTTTCTTTTCTTAACTTCATTTCAAGTCAAACTAGGTCAATTTTTTAAAAAAAGAAAAGAAAATCATAAATATCATATACATATTTATATAAAAGAGAACATAAATCCGCCTATGTGGCGGCACCTTCACAAACCATATATATATTTATATAAAAGAGAACATAAATCCGCCTATGTGGCGCCTTTACAAATTCAGGAATCTCTTTTAACTTATTTATTGTCAGAATTAGTGTTTTGTTTTAATGAAAAAAATTGTGACTTTATGAAAAGTTGCGTTTACAAAGAGTTGCGATTTTTACGAGAAATAACAACTTTAATGAAGAGTTGCAACTATTTTATGAGGAATTGCAACTTTTATGTAAAAATTATGACTTTTATTAAAGATTGAGACTTTTATGAAAGAGTATGACTTGTCCAATGAGTTGTGACCTTTTCGATAAGTCACAATAAGCATTTATTCACACTGTCATTTGTTGTCTATAAATAGAGAGATTTCTTCTCATTTTAAAACAACGAAAATTCTCAAATTCTTCTTCCTCTATGCAATTAAATATTTATGTACTTTGCTCATGTTGAGTGATTCACTCACCATTGTTATTCTATCAAATACTGGTGAATAAAAACGTTCTATCCTGAGAGGATCTATTCCTTTAAACCTCGGGTAGTAGAATGAAATAAATTTCTTAATGGGATATTATGCATTCAGTGAGTTTGATGTTTTCCTTTATGTTCATTTTATTATTACATATCCTGATATGTTTTTTATAGGATGTCCAAGAAAGGACTTTGAGTGTTAAAAAGTTATGGCGGTTCCACACTACCTTGGAAAGTTATTTATTTAGCTTTCTATCTTATCGAGATATTCAATCGATTAGTAATATCCAAAAATAAAGAAATGTAGTGGATGTTAAGTATTGTAGTCAACCTTGATCAAACGGTTGGGGTTGAAATGTTGCATTTGCGTCAATTAATTACTTCTCAAAGTAGAATGAATCTATATTAATGAAATAATTATCTCCTTGTAAACATTACATTAAAAGTCCTCAAAACTAATACATAACCAACAAAATATGACTTTTGGCTATCAAAGTAGTGTCATTGATTGCGTATGATTTTGAATAACGGACTTTTAAGGGCATCATTTAATCCAAAATATGTGAGAGACATGTGTTATTTCATTAAAGTCCAAGAAATGTGTTTTTATATTTTAATTGACTTATCAAGTACAACTAATTATATAAGATGTATAATATTTAAATTCTGTATGTACCACCTTGAATAGGAGAAAAACTCTTGCAATTGATTAATAAAATATTTGTATCACTTTTTGAAAATACAAATATAGACAATGAAACAATTACATATATAAAGAATTAATAACAAAATTCACAAACACTTACAATCAAATCTTTTTCGTTTTAAGATTAAAAAATATTTCATTTCTTCTTTGTATAAAATATTCTTGAGAATTTATCGCAGGTTATACCTTCTCAAAAACACTTATATTATCAAATGTTCAGAAATGGATAATTGATGTAGTTCATCACCGAGCGAAACGATGACAATTTACCTAATTTATTATATAAAAGATAAATCGAGGCTCGCCTATCTAACGCTACCACGAACCACGATTTCGTTTTAATTTATTTATTTTCAAAATTAGCCTTCCATTTCATGAAAAGTTACAATTTTCACAAAAAGTTATCACTTTTATGAAAAATTGCGATTTTTATGAGAAGTTGCGACTTTAATGAAGAGTTGCTACTTTTATGAAGAGTTGCGACTTTAATGAAGAGTTGCTACTTTTATGAAGAGTTGCGACTTTAATAAAGAGTTGCAACTTTAATGAAGAGTTGCAACTTTTATGAAGAGTTGCAACATCAATGAAAAATTGTGACTTGTCCAAGGAGTTATGACTTTTTCGATAAAGCACAATAAATATTTATTCACGCTACCCTTTGTAGTCTATAAATAGAGACATTTCTTCTCATTTTAAAATAACAAAAATTATGAACTTCTTCTACTTCAAATTAAATATTTGTGTGTTTTGCTCTTGTTGAGTGGCTCACTGACACCATTGTTTTTGTATCAACACACTGGTGAATAGAATCGTTACGTCCTGAGAGGATCTATTCCTTTAAACCCGAGTACTAGAATGATTAATTTCTTTAAGGGGACAATGTGCATTCAGTGGAGACAATTTTTTTCTTTATGTTTTATTTTATTATTATAAATCATTATATGTTTTACGGTCATTAATTTATATTTATTTATTAATTTTTATTTTTTAGTACATGTTTTAAACTTAGTTTTTTATATTTCTAATCATTATGTTGAAGTAAAGATATGTTAATCAAGAGCTTGATGTAATCATTAGACTATAAGTGTCATGTAGTTTAGAATTCTTAAACTTGTAAAATAAATTACTTTAATCTTTATAGAATTTTCAGTGGCTAAAAGATTGATGGAATGTCTAAGAAGGGACTTTGAGTGTTCAAAAGTTATGGTGGTTCCACACTACCTTGGTGTTTTATTTATTCAACTCTCTATCTTATCGAGACATTCAATCGATTAGTGTCATCCAAAAAATATAGGAATGTAGTGGGAAACGTTTGGGGTTCAAATGTTGGGTTGGAGTCAATGAATTACACCTCAAAGTAAGATGAATCTATAGTACTCAAATTTTATTTTTACTAGGTAAATTTTCTATGCTTCGCGCGCTGATGAACTATGTCAATAATCTACTTCAGAACATTTGATAATATAACTGTTCTCGAGAGGGTACAAGCCTATGATAAATTTTCAAGAATATTTTATCCAAAGAAGATTTTGAAATATTTTTTTAATCTTAAAATAAAAAAGTGATTTTGTTATTAATTCATCATTTATTATAGTTGTTCATCACCAAAGTCTTTTGAAAATGTATGGTATTATTTTTGTCTATATTTGTATTTTCTAAAAGTGCTACAAACTTTTTATTCTTCAACTGCGGGAGTTTTTCTCATATTCAAGGCCTTTACATACAAAATCTAAACGTTATACATCTTGTATAAGTAGTTGTGTACTTGATAAGTTTACTGAAAGATAAAAATACATCTCTTGGATTTCAATGATATAATGTATGTCACTCAAATAATTTGGATTAAATGATGTCTTGGCAAGTCCTTTTTTCAAAATTATACGCAGCCGATGACACTACTTTGATAGACAAAAGACATATTTTGTTGTTTATGTTTCGATCAATATGGTTAAAACTTTATTTTTTGAGATTTTTAATTTAAAGTTTATAAGTAGATAGTTATGTCTTTAATATTTGATTAATATAGATTCATCTTACTTTGAGGGGTAATTCATTGACTACAATCTAACATTTGAACCCCTAAATTCATTAAGGTTGAGTACAATACTTACCATCCCACTACACTCCTTTATTTTTTGGATGTCGCTTATCGATTTAAAGCATCAATAAGATAGTAAGTTGAATAAAAAAAAAATCAAAGATAGTGCGGAACCAACATAACTTTTGAACACTCAAAGTCATTTCTCTGATATCCCATGAATTTTTTAACCACTGAAAACTCTATAAAGATCAAAGTTATTTATTTTACAAGCTTAAGATTCTAATGTACATGACCCAAATAATCTAACGATTACATTAAATTCTTGACTAACATATTTTTACTTCAACATAATGATCAAAAGCATAAACATAAATAACAAAGTTTAATACATGTAATCAAAAACAAAAACTACTGAAATAACCATAAATTAATGATGATAAAGAACATACAAGGATATTTAATAATAAAATAAAACATAAAGGAAAAAGTCGAGCCCACTAAATGCACTTTGTCCCCATAAAGAACTTATTTCATTCTATTACCCGAGGTTTAAAGGAATAGATCCTCTCATGGCAGAATGATTTTATTCACCAAATGTGTTAATTGAAAAACAATGATGTCGGTGAGTCATAATAGAAGCAAAGTGCACAAATATTTAATTGTGGAGAAGAAGAAGAAGTAGTTCACAATTTTCCTTATGTTAAAATGAGAGAAAATTCCTCAATTTATAAGACAACAAAGGATAGCGTGAATAATGGTTTATTATTATTATTATTATTATTATTATTATTATTATTACTATTACTATTACTATTACTATTACTATTACTATAACTAAATTATAACTATAACTATTACTATTACTATTACTATAACTAAAATTATAACTATAACTATTACTATTACTATTACTATTACTATTACTTTTACTTTTAATTTTACTTTTACTTTTACTAATTACTATTACTATTACTTTTACTATTACTATTACTAATTACTATTATTATTACTATTACTATTACTTATTACTTATTACTAATTACTATTACTTATTACTTATTACTAATTACTATTACTTATTAGTATTACTATTACAATTGCTATTACTATTACTATTGTTATTACTATTACGTAAATGTCTAATTATGTTGAGTCTTTTTATGATATGGTTAAGAATCCTACTTGGGACTAAGTTAAGTTTTCCCTATAAATAAAGAGTTTTCCTTCATCTTAAAGAAGAACTATGAATCCTGAATATACTTCAAGAGAAATAAGAAGTTTTTTCTCTTCTCCACTACTTTCTTCTTCTACTTCTAAATTTATATAGTTTCATAACACGTTATCAGTACGATTGTTCTATTCTTAAAGAATTATGAAGAAGGCGGAAAAAGTGCAAAAGAAATCTTGTATAAGTTATGCAATAAGGTTCTTATATCTTCAAGGTTTGATTTATCTTTATGTTATAATTATTTATGGAACAGATTTGGAAGTACCATCTAAAGTAAGTATTT